CCAAACACATCTGGGGTCCGATTCCAGCTCCCCTGTGTGTTAGCTGTGGCGTGAAGTCCTGTAATTCCCCTAAGCCCTGGTTTCTGTAAAATGGGAACGACCACACTGATAGAAGGCCGTTGTAGGAATTAAATAAGGGAGGTGACAGAGTCCTGCTCTTCTGGGGCTGAACAGTGTGGCTTTCAAAGCCAGATTTCAATCCTGGCTGCCATGGAGAGAACTGGGAATCAGCAGGCCTATCCTCACTCGTCCAAGGTACCTGGAAACAACAGATCCCCCCCCCCCGCAGAACCCTCTGCTCTGTCGCAGGTCCCTGTTAAGAAGCCTCCTGGTTTCCATCTGCCTCCTTAGAACTAGAGTTCCTGCTCTCCGCCACATCCTCCCATTCCAGGACGTTCACCATCCTGGTGGTTATAAGAGCTTTCAAGAGGTCTGTCCGAGTGATCCCAAGCGCTACCTCCCCTCCCCACTGGGTACCCTGTCTTCTGCACCACCCACCTCTGACCGCCCACCTCGCCCCGCGGTGACTCCCCGCCTCCAACAGCCTCTTCACCTGGCTCTGAACCCAGAACAAGGTGACCAGTGGGTCAGGGCCTAAAATAGCCCCTCTTTTGAAAAGAAAAAAAAACAACTTTTATAAAACATTCTCTCTTAGCATCCCCTCTTTTTTATTTTTGAACCAGCAGCATGTGACTATATTAGCATTGAAGAGTCCAGTGCAGAACAGAGTAAAACATGTACGTTCCCTCCATGGTTTACCCTCATGTTTACATTAGATTATGTGGCTTCCCGTCCAGTTTTAAATGCAGCTCCTCAGCCTCTCTTTGTTTCTAGTAATGATTCTGACATCCTCCGTAGCTTCTGAGGGGAAAATTCTCAGATTTCCCCAAGTCTGTGGTCCTAACAGATGCAGCAGAAGGCAGCCAGCCCCCTACTAAGTAATTTCTCTAACCTCAGGATTAAAATGAGGAAAGCTTTTAAGTCTGCATAACCAAAACTCCACCTGCATAAGAATAAGCCAACTCAGGGTCTGTTGAGTTTCCTCAACCTCAAAACACAGCGAAACTTGAAATTCTAGGATACAAGCATTTTCCCTCAGCTCTAGGGGCCACGGGGCTTTGTCCAGCAGCTGCAACCCCAGGGCTCACCCCTCTGTCCTCAGACGCCCACCCCAGCGTGCAATCAGCGAGGGCCATGGAGACCTGAAAGGCCATTTCCTTCTCCTGGGCTATGGAGAAGTGATCAGATTTTGCTGCCTCCCCCTGGCTTCACAAAAAATCAACTCCCCCTCATCCTTCAGAGTAACTTCTCAAAACAGCACCTCAAAACAAAGTAAGCCCCCAGACCTCCTCAGATCCAGACCCGGGGCCTCCCCTGGGAAAACTCCCTCTTTGGGTGGTAATCCCCTCCCTCCCTGCAGCCCTGAGGTGGACCTGGGAGCAATCTCACTCCTGAGACAGCTTCTACGGGGTGAGTCCTGGGTGGAGAATCAGCCCCGACCCACTTCCCGATACCTTGGCATTTTTCACCAACAGCAGCTCTGGAAGGTGAAGCCCAAAACGTAAAACAAAACAAAGCACAACAAAACCTTAAGCTGCTCATTTCCTCCAGCAGGTCTCTCCCTGCTGATGGGTGGTCAGGGACGCTAGGCTTTCGGGAGGCATGGGGTAGGTAGTAGGAGACATTAGCACACAAGGAAACAATGCCCCCAGCCAGGCAGTCAGGGGAAAAAAAACTTTTAATTAAAAACAACAACAACAACAAAACCCGTAAGTGGCAACAAACCCAGAGAACAACGCTCCCGTTCAGCGTTCCTACTAGAGACGGCAGGAGCTAGTGTGGAAAACAGAGGACCCACCAATGAAGCGTCTGTGCTACATCAGACACAGATCTTTACATCTTTGGAGCAATCACGAGCACAAATCCCACAAAGGCT